ATTTGAAAAAAAGATCAATTTTGAAGACTTACCGTTGAAGACATAAATTCAAATTCTACTGTGTCAGGAGGGGGCAAATTTTGAACTTTGTCAGGTTGAGGGTCGTTCTCGCCAGTCTTGTTTTCAATATTTCCAGAACTAGATGAGGTCTCCAAAATGGAAACACTTTGAGAATCCTTTTTTGTCTGGGATACCTGAAATTTGTCAGTGTAAAAAGTATAATATGGCAAAAAACCCTTAACCCCTTTTACCTTTAAAAAGTGTAATATGAAAAAATTTGCCGTTTTTATAGAACAATCCGCATATTGACTAACTTCATTTGCAATTTATAGTTGGCTAAGCCAACTATTTATTTAGCCAACTATAAATTTGGGTAGTTGCTAGCTTTTGAACAAACAAGTAAGTATGTAATTTTATTCGCAAATACAAAACGCGCGGTGTTGGTTGAATGTATCAAATTTTCATTTCCGCCGGCATAAATTGATTCGTATTTATTATTCGTATTTTTTGGCTAGAGTTAAATTTTTTTATCTAGCCTTACCTTTTGACTATGTATCTGTGCTGCTAGGATGAATGGGTTTGCTGGAGCACCGGCCACTTTATAGGAGATTGATTTCCCTGTCTTTAACAAGTCATTGTGGTATTTCTTGTTATGTTCATGTCGATAATCGTCATCAAACGACCGATTACAAACTAAACACGTCAATTTCTCTCTCTTCCGTTTGCGTTTTTGTTTGCTACTGTCCATACTTTTAAATCTTCTTTGTATTTCTCATCGTTCAAGGTCTAATTTCTAGACTTTATTGGCTTCACAAGATTACGAAATGAAGCGTAGACGCATCAACAATCAACACGCACATGTGCTTCGAATTGCTTATGGTATCATATTTCACAAAATTGCAAGAAAATATAATACTAATAGCGTATCAGCGTAAGAGCGTATAATACGAACGGCGGTCGGAGTTCTTGGCCAATTTGGCTAAATGTTCGGAAAAGGGCCGAGCTTTCAGTCGACATATCCATCTTTTCGATCTCGCATAAGTCGCATTTTCTACAAATTACACCCTCTCTCCAGCCACTCAACCAGGTATTGCCTATTGGCTTGATCCAATTCATTTTGCCGACCACTGGTTTATTGTGCCGACGCCCCTGATATGTGCGTAGTATGGTATTATCATTCACCACACTTCAAATTCTACAGTACTGTCACAGAATAAGTCACACAGAAGGTCGACTCGAATAACCGCTGCCACGCCATGATTCATCATCAAAATGCTGACCCCATGGTCCTAGCCAGTGCGGATTTGAGAGACATTCCCCCCTGGACGTCCGCCGTTTTGAATAATATCAAGGGGGTGAATGCCTCTCAAACGCGCACTGGCTAGGACCATGGCGTACGTCAGCATTTGATGACGAATTACGGGTTACGCCAAAATCATAGGAAAATCATAGGGAAAACAAAGAAGTCGGCCTTCTGTGTACCTTATTCTGTGTAACTGTATTACATGTGTTGGGTACTTGACATCGACGCATCCGTCTTCTCAGTGTCATTGAAGAGCAAGATAGGGTGGTCTCTTTGGAGCATCTTTGCTTGGAAAAACTAAACAAGAATTTCGTCCTAAAATGCCATTTCATGCTTTGTTCCACGAGCAAATTATTTCAGTCATGGTATAGGTTCCTGGCGATGTTTAAATTTCAGTCCCCCAAATTCTGGCTTGCCGAGTCAACTGATTCGGTTGCCTCATAGCTATAGTTACGGGCCTGTAGATGATGGTCAAATTCAGAAATGTTAATTGTTAATGATATATAATTGCTGGTTGACCACCTACTGCAGGTAGTACTTAGGGACCTCACTGGGGGAGGGGCAAAATTGCCGACTGGAGGGGCCAGTAAGAGGGCTGGGAGGCATGTCCCCCTAGTCTATATGTTAAAAGAGGCCCTGTCCAATGCTCTACCAACTGAGCTACGAGCACCATAAAATACGAAAAGTATCATATCTTAGAATATCATTGATATCGAAGAAACTAGACTCAGTTCCAAAATATCACCAACTCGAACCGACTTAACCTCGTAGCTCATTTGGCAGAGCATTGGATTAGTATACCAAAGGTCGCGGGTTCGATTCTCACCGTGGACAGGCAAACTTTTCAGCTTGCCCGGTGTGGATGCACACTAAGAGTAACACCACAAACATCATATTCACCTGAGTACATAACACCAACAAACACAAAAAGTATCATATCTTAGAATATCATTGATATCGAAGGAACTAAACTCAGTTCCGGAATATCATGCTCGAACCGACGTCTTAACCTCGTAGCTCAGTCGGTAGAGCATTGAACTAGTATCCCAAAGGTCGCGTGTTCGATTTCAACCGTGGTCAGGCAAACGTTTCAGCAGTGCCCGGTGTGGATGGACACTCAGAGTAACACCACAAACATATTCATCGAGTATACATAACACCAACAAACACAACTACACAAAAAGTGTAATGATTGTGTTTTCTCCATCAGTTTGTATATAGGGATGTTTTTAATTTACTACCAAATGATGTAAGTTATCTAATCCAATGGAATGAGTTATATAGCTGGTCTTTAGAACCAGCCATTGCCTGGCCACCTTCAGGGCCGTAACTAGACGCGATAATTGGAGGGGGAGTTGCATATTCATATATTCGTAGTCTGCCCTACTATTTCTTTTGAAAGCGATTTTTTGACGGTATGTGAACATGAATTTATGAATTATGCACCCCTCCCCAATTGTCGCGTCTAGTTACGGCCCTGGCGCCCTTTCGAAGATCTAACATATTTTATCTCTTAGTTTCTGTTCATCAGCTTTCTGTACTTAACCAAAAAGATCCCTTCGATGCCTTAAATGATTTGCTTTCACTTAACAGACAATGATGAATGTCAACTTGGTACACACATCTGTCATCAACATGCTTCATGTCAAAATACAGATGGTTCGTTTGGTTGTAGTTGCAATGAAGGATATTCTGGGAATGGAACAACCTGCGTAGGTAGGTTGAGCTTCTATTTGTTTCGAATAAATGTAGTTAGAAAGGGAAACAATGTCTGAAATATTAAGTAATTTCGAAATTATGTAATGGTAAGTATAAATATGGTTCCTTTCAAAATTAAGTATATAGGTCAGACTGGACTTATACAGATTCTTTACAATATGTTTAGCTGTATAAAATTTAGAAAAACTAGCAGAATAAGCTTGTAACAGTGTAAGTTCAATAACCTTCATCATATTCTTCACTATTCACAAAGGCATGAATAATATTATAAGGCCCATAGTAACCGGATTATAATGTGGTGTCCCCGCCCTTCGTAATTAATATCGTTGTATATGTTGTGGTGTTTTAAATGTTCATAATATACTGTTTGACCCTGTTTGAATATGGCAAAGTTCAACAAATAAATAGATTAACTAATTAATATTTGGTGAGAAAAAAATGATCTAAAATTTATATAAATAATCAACCTCATTTTGTGTGTAATGTATTCTACAATCTTTATTCTCAAGATTTCCTGCGTATATTATTAACAATGAAAATAAAACATAGGTTAATAATTTGAGGGTTTTTTAGACATCAATGAATGTAACAACGATGAAGATAACAAGTGCTCACCGTTCGCTATATGTAATAATCAAATTGGAACATATGAATGTCTTTGCAAGAAAGGATTTGGAGGCAACGGAATACAATGTGGTCAGTAAATAATTATATATCCATATTTTATTTTTGCACTGGGTGTATCGATGTTAAATTGCATACGACACGAGAATATCGTTAATATTCTAAACACACATTCAAGATCAAAACAGATTTATCAGTTAACAAAGTTATCAGGAGGTTTTGTTTTTGTTATTACGTCACTGGTTGTCCTCGAGTCTAATTTCTCAGATCAATGCGAAATTAAATGAAATTTTGTACCGTTATGGTTAGTGTACCTATGCAAACATTTTAGATTGTTTATGCACCTACTGTATGTAAACATTTTAGAATGTCTATGGTTAGTGCACCTATGTAAACATTTTAGAATGTCTATTTGGTTGCCATAGGAACACATTAGTTACCAGGTCTCTATCTTCTTATTTTGTTAATATCTCCTGTAATTATAAACACTTTGGAAGTAAATTTTTTACTTCATATTTACCACGGCGGCACGGCACCTATAAGAACGATAATAATAAATGAAAATCTCAAAATTTCCTTTCTATTTTAATGAAAGCAAAGAATTGGACCAATAAAAGAGAGAGACCCGGTAAATAATGTGTTGCTATGACAACCATATAAACGTTTCAAAATGCCTAATTAAGTGCGGCTACTAATTGTTCCGAATTTATTTAATTTCGTTAAATCACTTCTGAGATATTAGTCTTTACTTTTGCACCATTGTAAAATGACTATAATTTGAGGTTTTGTTCATCGTAGAATGATCTCAAATTTTGCAAAGAGATGCTCTTGAGGCCGCTCAACTGAAAATCCTTTCAAAGAGACAGAAACCCCTAAAAATATTTATTTGAACATTCCTTATGTGGCAAGTCTTAATTTCCATAGACGGTAAAAAAATGTATTCATGCATTATTTATAACATTTTGTCTCCGTTGACAGATACAGAATGTCTTGAATCTAATCTTCGGATGGCGTGTTTATACCATCACAACTTTACTCCTTCACTTCCTTTGCAATTTATACTACCCTATTTCTTCACTTCCCATCTTTTCTTAGCTAAATACCAAGTGTTCAACAAAATATTTGCGTCTTTCTATCCATTTTACTGACGTCTTTTTCTGACATTTTATTTTTGTATAGACGATATAGATGAATGCACAGATCCCACACCTCCTTTACGGTGTAGAGGACTAGGTCAAGGATGTACCAACTATCCAGGAGCATATCGCTGTAGCTGCATCAGTCCCAGACAACAACTTACTGATGACCAGTCAGCATGTGTTGGTATGTATGAATCAAGGACGGACTGACCGCTGTTTGGGCCTCACTCAGGAATAAAATCCGGGCTCATGTATGAATGTATAAAGTTAGCATGTAAAACAAAGTCGAGGCGAAAATTCATTATGAAGGAAATAATCTGGATCTGTCCTATCTTCTAATATATTCGGGCCCCAAAGTTATCCAAGCCTTGGTCCGTGTGCGATTGCCCGAACACTCAGTCCGCCCCTGTATGGAATAATTATAGCATCTGCTTTGATGCCTCCACCATTACTTTTGTTCTTAACACGACCAGAAAGCAACCACGCCGTGCCCTCTTTCGGCAACTACAAACTCAGTCGCGAAACTAATAACTTACTTTCCCACGCCCGCATTAGATGTTTTCGGAAAAAAATATATGTTGCGCCGCTAAAGCCTCTCATCTCTTTTTCTCGGGTAAGTAAATGCGATGTATTTGTGGCGGAGCGTTAAGCAAACCAACTATATTATATGTTATGAAACACCCTTTTTGTGATGACATCATTCCGCTTTATATCATGTATGTAGTGATAAGCATGCAAACAGGCAAAATGTAATGTTTCAAGTAATAATTTGGAAATTTTGCTTTTCAATAGTGCACCGTTTTAGAATAAACAACAATTATGCAGTGTCTGGTTACGCAATGTCTTTTTGATGCAAATTTTTGCACTGAAATTGTGCATACTATTACAATTGTACTTCACATGCCAAGTTTCGTCAGGAATGAATAACATTTGGCATCAGCAATGAAACAATTTTTAGTTCTTTATTCTTGACCTCCAATTTGCAAGGAAAATTTGAACGGCTATAATGGACCATTTGCATTATAGACTAAATTTTGATCTAGACAAAAATTTCATCGCAGCTTGAAAGAGCATCACAAAATTAGTAATATTCCAAAGTTTCGTTGCGAAATGTTGTAAAATGCGGATAATATAGCCTTGCGAAATTTGCAATTTTCAGTCATTTTGTATTACAAACGGGAAATTGATGCCCCAACACCCGATTGGGCTGTCAATTTCCCGTGCGTAATACAAAATGACTGAAAAACGTCAAACTTCGCAAGGCTATATTATCCGCATTTTACAACATTTCGCAACGAAACTTTGGAATATTACTAATTTTGTGATGCTCTTTCAAGCTGTGATGAAATTTTTGTCTACACTTGTCTAGATCAAAATTTAGTCTATAATGCGAATGGTCCATTGAAATGTTTTTTTTTTTTTAACCGAGCCCGCGTTAAAAATTCACTGGTAAAAACCAGATTGGTTTAAACTTCATCTAACCCTTATTTAATACATATTGAAATAATTCGGCAGCAAATTAGCGAACACGATTTTAGGTTTCACACTGATGCGCAGCAAAGCATATATTCTACATAATTTTTGCATTATTGACAGCATGAAGCTATATAACCAAGGATTCCCTTTTTATACAATAAATTTTATCAGGGGACCCAAAATTTTGCCAGAGGGCAGGGCCCCCCGGCCTGAGTCCTGGCTACGCCTGAATGGTAGGTTAAGGAATGTAGTAATAGTATGTAGTAGTATAGTAATATTTTAATGGTATATTTATATACAGACGAACGTTCATCCAGTATATTTAACGATGGGGCCATTTACATAGAGATCATTAATTTATTTTTTCAGAAAACGCCATGGACACGAATTGAAGAATCGAACTTTAATGTTTAACTTAATCAAAACGCAAACGTGATGACTTCCAATTAGCAAGGAATTGCATGGTCTAATGAGCTATGCGTATATTTATATGTAAGGGGAGCTAATTGAAGGTTTCCACAATGCAAAGTACGACACCGTCTGCGCTTAAAGTAACATTTTACGGTATGGTGATCCTAACTTTCATCGGTATTCTTCTTTTTACTTTTATCATGACAGTCAACAATAATGAAACAAATTTTAGAGATGAAAGCAAGGACTTAACAAAAAGAGAACAAAGCGATGAAATCAATGAGAGCATGACAAGAAAAGTCGTGATTCTATATTGGACCAAAGTGTACAAGGGTACACCAAAAGTTAATTCAAACCCCGACGCTTGGCCATTCTTTTATGCTGGTAACAATTGCCCGATTCCATGCGAACTTACAGCGGACAAAAAGCGAGTGGAAGAAGCCTCGGCGCTCGTTGTTCACTCCAGAAACACACACGAAATCCCACCAAAAATTTACCAAAATTTAACTTGGATTTTACACACGAACGAGAATCCCAGGTTCACACCATCACTCCGGGATCCAAACTTCATGAAGCAGTTCAATTATTTGGCCAGCTACCGCTTAGATTCGGATTTTCCTTGTCCAGAGTTTGTAAAGCCAATATTAGAACCACCTGTGCCGTTTGCACAGAAGAATGGCTTAATTATTGCAGTCTTCTCTCATTGCGAACGGGTCCGGACACGCTATCTTGCAGAGCTTATGAAATATATAAAAGTTGATTCGTATGGAAGATGCTTAGGAAATAAACATGGCCTAATGCGGAATGGCAAAAAGACTTCTAGACATTCTGTCACAGAAACGCAAAGGAACTATAAATTCAGTATAGTGTTTCCGAATGCGGATTGTGATTTTTATATGACTGAAAAAATCTACAGCGCTCTGTCGGCTGGGAGTGTTCCGATATGGCTTGGAACGGATGGAATTGACGAAGTGTTGCGTTGGGGTAATCTTAAACATTCCATTATTAAAGTGAAGAATTTTAGTTCACCGAAGGCTTTAGCCGAGTATCTAGCCAAGCTGGCTAAAAACGAAACCGAGTATAATAAATACTTAAAGTGGAAGTTTGAAGGTTTCCAATTCCCAAAGGAGTACTATAAATCGGCGATAGGACAGTGGTGGGACGGGATACCGCTGTATTGTAGGATATGTTTGAAGGTTTCACAGGATCCACAAGGACGTAATGGGTTGCCTGTTGATAGATGCGATGGGCCTGATCAGATACGGACTATTGAAAAGTGGTTACAAAAGGTTTAAAGACCATGTCAAGTCCGTTCTGCGCATCAGTTCTGCTCGTAACGAAGGGGGATATAGTGCGGATATACTGCGGATTTCGATTTACCGTTTCAGCGCTTTAATTTCCGGTAATTGTTTTCCCGTTGAAACATACACGTTTCTAACGGTCAATGTCAATGTTACTAAGTGAAGTCTAGTGGTTTTTGTCCGCTGTTTTCTTGTCCGTTGTTTATCATTTGTAAATGTAACTGTTATATTCGTGTTTATCTCGTCTTTGGCAACATTTTGATATATAATTTACAAAGCTTTGTGGATCATTTCATGTTTTTATTGATATTTTGGAAATTGTAGCGTATAAAAGGCTTCAAAATTATTTACTGGCCTCTTATACGCTACAATTTCCAAAATATCAATAAAAACATGAAATGATCCACAAAGCTTTGTAAATTATGTGTGCGAATCCGATACGAGTCCGAATCCGATCCGATCGGATTCGGACAGTAATTCACTCGGATCGGATTTCTTTTTTTTATTATCGGATCGGATTTTGTGGGTTTTTTGTCGGATCGGATTTGGGTTTTTTCTTGTATTGCGTCGAATTACTCGAATATTTTAACAAATTAAGATGGTTCTATAGCAGGAAGTGCCTGGAAGGCTTTGGAGTCGAGTAAGCGGAGTAAGTTGGTCGAAGCGGAGTAATACTATATAATGCCGAGTGATGACAATAAAGTAAAAAAGTGTTTTGATATTTCTGACAAAAAGAAACACTGGCGTTATGTGGATTCTTCTTAAATCGGTTACGTATGGGAATTGGGATATAGAAATGTCGTGATTCTTTGTTTAGTTTGTCAGGTTTATGTGTCATGAAGCACTGACAATGTCAATGAGATTTATTAGTGATAAACATTACAGTCGTGCCAATAAAAGCGTTCCGAAAAATGTTGACCAATTCATTTCCTAACTTGAACTCGGAACACCTCTGAACAATTCCTCAACAATTTGATAAGTTCCTTAAAAAGTTCCTAACTTTCTGCTTCATTGACCAATCAGATTGCTCAAAAATAAAATATCAAATTTGATTGGTCAATGAAACAGGAAGTTAGGAACTTTTTAAGGAACTTATCAAATTGTTGAGGAACTGTTCAGAGTTGTTCCTTCAAGTTAGGAAATGAATTGGTCAACATTTTTCGGAACGCTTCTATGGGCACGACTGTAAGATGTTTTAAATTGTAAACCCAGCATTGTTATAATAACTATGTGATTGAGTCGTTTAACTGTATATTAAAGGCATAATTATGTGATACTGCGCTGCAATTTTTATCGGATTCGTATCTGCTTATTTTTGCTGGAAATTCATTATTTCCAATATATCGTTTATGATCATGAAAAAATACGTTCATACACCGAATAATTAATTAACGCACGCTGTATATAATAACTTAAGTTCGGATCGCATCGGATTACGAATTTTAGCATCGGATCGGATTTTATAAACAATTTTTCGGATCGGATCGGATTGCTTTTTTCATCTTCGGATCGGATTCGGATTGAGAACTTAGACAAACCATTGGATTCAAAGAGGTCAATCCGATCCGACGCACATCTCTAATGTCAAGTCCGTTCTGCGCATCAGTTCTGCTCGTAACGAAGGGGGACCCGCGGATATAAACATTGCCCAAATTTTGCATCTTTCGAACTTTCTTGAATTGAAACGTACTCATAGTTTATATGCATTTACAATAGCGAACTAGAAAAGTGTTAGATATTCAGTTAGTATGTCTTATTTTACAATTATAGCAGTTCAAAATGTAAACAAAGGATTTGTTTGCATTTATACGGACTTGAAATGGTCTTTATTTTAAAAATAAATCGTTATATATATTAAATAGTTCAGTAAATCAGTGACTTGCGACAGAAGAAAAATGACCTCGAGCCGAAATAAGGCAGAATTCAGTAATCCGGACATCATTTATAGATTATTAAGACAATAAAGGTAATATAGTCAGCATATTAGGTTACTTTAAACTATTTACTAGGCTTGATTAATTCTATTAAATTTATCATGTTATATATAGACATAGCAATTTTAACAGCAGCTATATTATTTGGTATATATATAGGTTTATTTTAATTAAAGTTCCGTTCCAAAGTTCAACATTTATGTCCACGTTTACAAATTAAGAAAGCACATTGATAATTGTCACTGCGTCTGTTTAAGCCTGGTTTCCATATGGTCGTAACGGTCGTAAAGATTGAGTCACGGTCTTTCTCATCAGCCGAAATACAACATTTTAGAACTGAAAATACGCGGAGTGATTATAACAAGAGAATACTTATGATTTAAATGTGGTTTACAGGTATAAACTATTATAAACTGGCCGTTGAGAAAGATCGTGACCCTATTTTTATGACCAAATGGAAATCAAACTTTTATAGACAGACTACACAATCAGAGACAAAAACAACCACGACAAAATGAGAATAAAAGACGCGTTTAAACCGGCGTTTCCCTTCGCGAAACCGCTACGACCAGCTTCTTTCGGTTGAGCAAGCGATACTGGCTTAGCTACACGGAAAGACAAAGTATGTAAATAAACGTAAAACGGTCTCGCGTTTGCGGTGTGTGTTCGTTTCTCTGTCAGCGCGATAACCGCTTAAAAAATATCAAACGTTTTAATACGAAAATTTCTAAGACTAATGGACGTTGCCTAAGGGCAAACTGATTAAATTTTTGTTCAATTTGAGTGAAAATTGCATGAGACATTAGGAAAAGTTTGCTTTGCGTTGTCGCGCAGAGTAAATTAACCCTGAATGCGTAATGGGCAATAATGGGCAATCGTGGTATAATTTATGCATGCATAAACGCTATGACCCACAAAATGTTGAACTATTATAATAATAGAAAACACAAATTCCGTACCTGTCGACGATGTATTGCTTGAAAAATTAAATGAAGATGTTGAAATGTCGTTGCAAAGTTTGGGAGCAGCTGAAATTAGACAACGAATTACTTTCAATTTGCGCGTAAACTTGTCAATTTATTGATTTTGCACACAGTTTAATGAATATCATGGATTTGACTGATTTATAAATCTCATCTCATTAAAATATTCTGGCTTCAGAATCGTGTTACTGAATTCAATAGGATTCCCTATCCAGACCTTACTTCACATCAGTGGATATAATGTCCTCACCTTTCACACGGAGTCTTAACGTTTTATTCCTGCCCAGTCCCAGGCGCGTCTCAGGGACGCACGCATAAATTCCGTCGCGGTTCAAGGCAACACGTGATATGCTAAACACCCCTGAGTCCCTTTGTTCTGTGATCAATCTGTCGTTCTGATACAATCTGTAGTTGCGAACACGGAGAGAATGATTTGGCGCCATTTCACAGATCAATTTCACATCCTCGCATTGCCAAACGACCCCGTTCAGTGTTCCAACATGGTAGAATTCTCGTACGCTAGGTTTTCCTAGAGGTAAAATAAATATTACAGGGACCAGGGTGTATAAAAAAGAGGTATAGAAGAATCTCAAACTCATTAATAATTCATGAGCCTGATAGACCTTTCCCCTTATGAGTGAAATTTTGATCTAGATATGCCTGGACAACAATTTCATCACAGCTTGAAAGAGCATCACAAAATTAGTAGTAATCCGAAGTTTCGTTGCGAAATGTTGTAAAATGTGGATAATATAGCCTTGCGAAGTTTGCCATTTTTCAGTCATTTTGTATTACAAACGGGAAATTGATAATCAGATGATCAAACTGATTATCAATTTCCCGTTTGTAATACAAAAGGACTGAAAAACGGCAAACTTCGCAGGGCTATATTATCCGCATTTTACAACATTTCGCAACGAAACTTCAGAATATTACTAATTTTGCGATGCTCTTTCAAGCTGTGATGAAATTTTTGTCCAGACTTGTCAAGATCAAAATTTCACTCAAAAGGGGCCGAGGAATGGATCAAAATGCGAGGACTTGAAATCTAGTCTAGTCCGCATAGTCATAATCTAGTCTAGTCCGCATATACTTAAAATGATTTGCTGTGTTGGTGTTGTGTACTCAGGTGCATATGATGTTTGTGATGTTACTCTGAGTGTGTGGCACACCGGACAAGCTTGAAAAATATGCCCGGCCACGGCGGGAATCGAACCTACGACCTACGACCTGACCGCCTAGCTCAGTTGGCAGAGCATTGGGCTAGTATTCCAAAGGTCGTAGGTTCGAATCCCACCGTGGCCAGGCATATTTTTCAAGCTTGCCCGGTGTAGATATACACTCAGACTAACATCACAAGCATCATTACTTAAAATATTATGTTTATCTATTCACTTTTTCATACCAATGAAGATCGGGCTTTTAGCTGTCGAATTACTTTCTTGTATATATCATAATTGCGATCAAAAATAGAATGCGACTTTAATTAAAATGCCGCTCGAAATCGCATGTAAAGCAATGTAAAGCTAGTATAAAGATTAATGCCCAGCATAACGTACGCAAAAGAGCCACATAGACAATAATATAATATAAAAATTTATTTAAGAAGTACTAACGTTTCGTCTTTAACCTAAGACATCTTAAATTCAGAGTAAATGAATATAGTATGACAATGAGTTACACTGAAATATGAATAAATTACTATATTCATTTACTCTGAAGATGTCTTAGGTTAAAGACGAAACGTTATAGTACTTCTTAAGGTTACAGGACACCTTTTTTGGCGTTTTGCGGAAAATCGCTACTGCGCGCTCAATATCAGTCCGATTTTCATCAAATTTTCACCAAATGTTCTCCAGTGCATGCAAAATATGGTAAAGTTGTAAAATTAACAAACAATAAAATAATGTAAGAATTATTCAGGAAAATATTAAATCGCGGTACCGTTACGCTTTTGAGTTATGTTCCTGCTGGTTTTAAGTTATATTTATGAAAATATCATTTTTATACAGTAAAATAGTTGTTCTAAAAAATTGTGTTCGGAAATTTTTGTTTATTTCGTCATTCCGCTGATATGGCGATTTCTTTGACAACTGCAATATATTTCTGAATTGTTTTAGTAAATTGCTCTTTATTTTTAAAATATCCAACATTAAAAAAAGCCGAACACAATTTTGAAACTGACGTCTTTAGCTATGTCCTGTGAAAATTTGAGAAAAATTGGTTAAAACCCGCGGGAGCATAACTCGTTTGAAAATCAGTAATTACCGTAAAATTTTTCGGGAGAAAATTGAATTTGAATATTACATTTTCAATGTTTTTCTTATTGCAGCGAAATGTATTTTACTAAATAACTCTGCGAGTTTTCAACATTTTCCGTTCAAACTTGGTCAGATAGTAGAACTAGTCTATAATGCTTTCATGGAAACCAATAAAAAAATTTTAGGCAAAATTAACACTCAAAGGTGTTCTGTAACCTTAAATAAATTTTTATATTATATTATTGTCTATATGGCTCTTTTGCGTACGTTATGCTGGGCATCTTTATACTACGATTACGATTCCCACCTGGTTCATCACTTGCAAGTACAATGTAAAGCTATTGTCTGATTATTGAAATTATTCTCATTTTCGATTCAAATTTAAGTCGCTTGATGATGGCGCAACGCATGTCTAAAGCTGGAGTTACGCGAGAACAAAATTGCTGCAACTTGCAACAAAATCTGATTTCAACGCGTGTTAATAAGTAGAAATGTCGTCACATGTTGCCTTGTGATTTGTAATTTACTTTGTAAACATTTTCAATGGACCGTTTGCATAATAGACTAAATTTTGATCTAGACAAAAATTTCATCACAGCTTGAAAGAGCATCACAAAATTAGTAATATTCCAAAGTTTCGTTGCGAAATGTTGTAAAATTTCCGTTTTTCAGTCATTTTGTATTACGCACGGGAAACTGACAGCCCAATCGGGTGTTGGGGCATCAATTTCCCGTTTGTATTTTACAACATTTTCCACATTTTACAACATTTCGCAACGAAACTTTGGAATATTACTAATTTAGTGATGCTCTTTCAAACTGTGATGAAATTTTTGTCTAGATCAAAATTTAGTCTATAATTTAGTCCATTAACATGCGTTGAAATCAGATTAGTGCAGGTTGCAAGCATTTTTGATTTTGGTAAATTTAATTCCACTCGCAATTTTGCATCAAATATGAGTGGTTAAACCATTTTACAAAACGGACTAGCTTGAAAAATATGCCTGACCACGGTGGGAATCGAACCTACGACCTTTGGAAGCTAATCCAATGCTCTGCCAACTGAGCTACGCGGTCAGGTTGGTTCGAGTATGTGATATTTCGGAACTGAGTCTAGTTCCTTCGATATCAATGCAATGTAGTAATCGATTTTCTTCGAACCGACCTGACCGCGTAGCTCAGTTGGCAGAGCATTGGGCTAGTATTCCAAAGGTCGTATGTTCGATTCCCACCGTGGCCAGGCATATTTTTCAAGCTCGCCCGGTGTGGATATACACTCAGAGTAACATCACAAACATCACTGATATTCACCTGAGTATATTACACCAACACAGAAAAAATCATATATCATGACATTATTGTCTTTTATTATATAAAGTATGGTGCTTTATAGAAATTTCGAGCTAATCTCACATGTGAGATTATTCATGATAATCTCACATGTGAAAATTATCGCTTTTCAAATATCGCTTTTCTGTACAAATTATCGCTTTTCAAAGACTGTCCTTTATATAATAAACAGAAAAATACATGGGTGCTTGGAAATACCAGATTTATTTCTCGTGTTGAACATGATATCTCACTCGTTCGCTGCGCTCACTCGTGATCATATACAACACTCGAAATAAATCTGGTATTTCCGCGCACCCATGTATTATTCTCTATATATACTTACGGAACACTTTGATTTGCAACGATTGTTCAGCTGTTCCCATGTGGTTCGTAGCGTTGCAACGATAGGCGCCATTTTGTGATACTTCGATACTCTTCACCACCAATATACGACTCGTAGAAACTAGCCCCGCGCTGGTATGAACCCAGTTGACATTGGGCGATGGCAAACCTTGTGTATGACATACAACTTTAAACGACGTTTCTTCTAAGACTTCCATGTCTGAGAACGGTTCGATTGTTGGTGCGACTGAAAATGACAGGAATTGAAACTCAGTAGCAATGCATCGTCAAAAACCAGAGTGCTTCTTAAAACAAAGTCAGTCGAGATCATTGTCGAGATACAGGGTGTATAAAAAAAATGCAACATCGAATTGCTAACAGATCATATTACTGTTGTTGTACTGTACTTGTAAAATAAAAACTTATTAATTTAAAGCCTGGTTCACATATGTCTGCGATATGCCTGCGACGTCATTGTTTACAGCTATATTGATGCATACATTCTTTTGTGAATTATTTGGTTGAACTGGTAAAGACAATAGCCCGCCGACACATCGCAGACATATGTGAACCAGGCTTAAGTGTCAGTATATTGTCTAAAAACGCTCCTATTAAAGTTTTTAAATTCGTTCTATCTTTTCATGTTTATGCAAACTTGTGAAGACAATGAATATGTGGGATTTTCAAGACAATGAAACGACAATGGAACATTCTGATCACTGGATCGTGACTGGATGGCATTAATTATATTGTTATGTCATGTGTTATACAAAATTTTATCTTGATTCTGAAAGCTGATAGCTTTGTGAAGTGAGTACAATAAACTAAATGCAAAAGTGTATTTATACTGGATAGCTCTATCAGTTCTGAACTGTTCTCCACAGAGATCCAGTAAAGATCATCTTTTATTGATCCAGTGTTACTAAAGGATGAAAGTTCAGAACTGATAGAGCTATCCAGTATCAATACACTTTTGCATTTAGTTTATTGTACTCACTTCACAAAGCTATCAGCTTTCAGAATCAAGATAAAATTTTGTATAACACATGACATAACAATATAATTAATGCCATCCAGTCACGATCCAGTGATCAGAATGTTCCATTGTCGTTTCATTGTCTTGAAAATCCCACATATTCATTGTATGAAACCCTAATTAAGCTAAGCTAAACTAACTCTATTTATACTAGACAACTCTATCAGTTCTTAACTGTTCTCCCTAGAAGTCCATCTCTTATTGGTCCAGTGTTACCACAGGAGGGAACCAGCTAAACTAAACTAACTTTATTTATACTGGATAGCTCTATAGCAGTTCTTAACTGTTGTCCCCAGAAGTCCAGTGCGGGTAATCTCTTATTGGTCCAGTGTTAGTATGTGTTACTACAGGAGGGAACCTAAACTAAACCAACTTTATTTATACTGGATAGCTCTATCAGTTTTAAACTGTTCTCCCTATAGAGGTCTTGTAAGGATCATCTCTTATTGATCCAGTGTTACTACAGGAGGAAACCTAAACTAAACTAACTTTATTTATACTGGCCATGGATGTATCTCTATCAATTCTAAACTGTTCTCCTTAGAGGTCTTTATTGATCCAGTGTTGCAGAAGGAAACTGGAGCACTTTCCTTCCACGCGACTCACGAGGTGAAATTAAAGTTAGACAACTGAATATTACAGGACTAAATTAAAATTATATGAAGGATACCTCCTATTCTTAAGTGAACGTTCTTCTCAACCTCTTTCCCGCTTCGATAATCGATACGACATTGATAGAAACCGCTATCCTCAACTGTGACATTATTCAAGATAATCCTTGATGAATTATCGACCACAATCCGTCGTCCTGTGTCAGTTTCATCAGCAACTTGGAACTGCCCGTCGTCGAAGAAAGCGAGCATGCTCGACTCTCCGGTCAGGCCGGCGGGATCTGAACTGTACCGCAATGCACTCAACATCGAGGTTTTGTCGAGAACACACAAGAATTCCACATTGGACCCAACGATGACATTTTCGACTTTGAAATCTGACACTGAAACTGTTAATACTGCAAGAGAAAAAAATTCACGTACTGTATATCGCCCGCCCCAAGCCCGGTGATAGCATAGGGGCAATTTATCATTAGACACAAAAACTAAGGATATATTATAGGGTGTACATTAACTGTTAACACGAACGCGAGGTCTGTACAGGAAAAATATCGGACCGAGGTATTTTTTGTACAGACCGGGCCCGTATGGCGAGGTTTGTACAAAAAGACCGAGCTCCGATATTTCTCTATACATACCGAGGTTAATAAAACGTTTATTATATGGCATTTATACTTGAAACAAACAAGAAATGCATTATTTGAAATGCATATTATTACCATTATGTATCCTTCCTTTCCACTTAAATTATAATTTTCAATGGACCATTTGCATTATAGACTAAATTTTGATCTAGACAAAAATTTCATCACAGCTTGAAAGAGCATCACAAAATTAGTAATATTTCAAAGTTTCGTTGCGAAATGTTGCAAAATGCGGATAATATAGCCTTGCGAAGAGTTTGCCGTTTTTCAGTCATTTTGTATTACGCACGGGAAATTGACAGCCCAATCGGGTGTTGGGGCATCATTTCCCGTTTGTAATACAAAATGACTGAAAATTGCAAATTTCGCAAGGCTATATTATCCGCATTTTACAACATTTCGCAACGAAACTTTGGAATATTACTAATTTTGTGATGCTCTTTCAAGCTGTGATGAAATTTTTGTCACGACCAAAAATTTAGTTTATAATGCAAATGGTCCATTGGTCCATTGGCTAGCCCTCTTATTTATAAAGCGTTGATTTTTACACCTAACATATCCTTTAGGGAACAATGCTTGAATTATTCCTATTTATTACAATGTCTGTCTTAATTGTAACTCCTTAACATTTTTGCACTTCCCAAATTACACTTTGACTATCCCCAAATTACAACAGGTAGGAGAATATAGAAAATGCTGAAGTAGTTTTGATTGCTTTCATGGCGACAATACTTTGAATTGTGAAAAAATTAAGTTTAACAAGCCAAAACAGATATGTATTATTCATTGAAATAATCTATTTTGGAGGCAAATTAATAATAATTTGTTACTTATATCATCTTTGAGTTAGCACTCTCCAGATATTAGCTTAGTTGCAGCGCATGTTGAAAGCCACATTAATGAATTATAATGCCGTTTCACCCTGCAGCACCCAAAACTATAAGACCAGTATGAAAACACGTACTGATTCACTAGTGCTTTTAATTAACATGTTTCTAACTATATAATATTCATTACTACAGGGTGTATAAAGCGTAATCCACCTTTAATACCTTTAACAAGCTTGAACGTGTTATAAACGTTGAATTTATGGCAAAAAATGTTTACAAAATTGAAAAACTTGCGCTCCTAGATGTACAACGATACCTATTTTGTATTATGATAAGAGATTATTGTCGAATAAAAATTGAATATCGAAATCGCTTGGAAATTGGGCGCAAAACTATTGAAAAAACGTCCCTTTTCGATCTCAAGTTCATGAAGTTTAAAATAAAAATAAATAAAGCCCTAATCCATGTGATAAAATCGACAGAAATGTTCATAAATGAGTCACTTCTGTTTATTAATTTTCTTGCCTGGCAAAAAACATTCGTTATTTGTGATTGCTGTTTCTTTTTTCGTGTACTGTTTTAAATAATATGCACATAGGTTAGAGAATGTGCATGATCAATCGGCTCGTATTTGGTTATTTGAGTATGCGTGGAACAATAGAAAACAAGTGTGATTCAAGAGCTAAAAACCTAATCATTATTAACATGAAAAATTAAATCTTTCCACAAACTAAGGCTTATATTCTGCCAACTGTTTCAATTCACATTGGTGCGAAATGAAAACAGAAATTTAATGAATTAACACGTAAAATTTCCAAACGATTCTAATTTTTTTGAAACTGCAGCGAGCAACACACTTGAAGTTGCAGCAGTAATGGAGGAACAAAGACCATTTCGGGAAGAAGCTTATATTGGAGCTTATCAAAGCGATGTAAAAGATGAAGGTGAGACTATAATACAAGAGGAAGGATAATTTGCGAAATATATATATTACCCGATTTTTGAACTTTCCGTTTAAAACCTAAGAAAGAAGAAAGCTGATAATTATAAAGCTTCGTGAACATTCATCTGGAACTTGACTGTGGGGGGTGAATAGGTGTATGCAATTCCGCCGATCCGCCCAAAT